AAAATGTAATCAAGTTTATTAATTTTTTCTTCATGAAGACGTCTTGCTCTGATTAATATTCAATAGTAAAAGGATATAATGCATATTTTTTAATGTGCCACATTTTCATTTCTTGAGCTACATTAAAAATATTTAATCTAGAAGTGATCATTTCATACCTTTAATAGTTTATCGGGCATGAGTAATTATTCTTCAGTTCTTTAACTGCAGTTCTACGGAATACATGCAATGATAAATGTAAAAAAAATGGAAATGTTTCCTTTATGGATGAAGTAGATACAACTAAATTAAATATAGGATAATGGAAGCTTTTGTAAAACCATATTTTATTGTAGCAAGTCACACTTTGTATAAAATCTTGCTCTCTGCATAATCATAGAAAATATTGCTACAATTCATTATTGTCAGCATTTATTTTCAAATTTCATATAGCATTATTTTTGTAAGTATGAAAAATTGGCAATAATTGAGTACAAAGCCCTTCTATACAAAGACAAGTTTTAGAATAGTCATTGTAAAAAATCATTAGCCCTTTTCATTTTTTAGTGTTTTGAGATTCAATCAGGTTCTCTAACATTAAGACGAGCCATGATGTCCTACTCTTTTCCTTCAATTCTTTTTTATCTTAAACTACTTTTGAAGACGAGTTTGACAGATAATCCAGAAGGAGGCAATGATACAGAATCTATGATTGCATTTCTCAAGGTACAAATTATGTTAAACATGAAAGAATAGGGGTACTGGCTATTGAGTCTTTGACCCTTGCTGCTGAAAATATTTAATTCCATCAAAACTTTCAGTATTAACCAAACCATCAATTCAGTTCCAACTTACAGTGATCCTACATAGTGTTTCTCAGACAGCATATCTTTATGAGAAAAAGATAACATCATCTTTCTCCATAGGATCAACTGTTGTTGTTGTTATTAAGTGCCATTGAGTCCGTTCAGACTCATAGCGAAGTTGTATAGGGTTTCTGAGGGGCAGTTGGTGGGTTTGAACTGCTGACCTTGTGTTTACCAGCACAGTAGAACTAACATGAATTTTAATGATCTATCTCTGAACTTTCTTAATCCTAAACAAGTCCATCAATCCTTTACTTTACATTATTTAATACAGTATAAGGCCAGGATGGCTAAACTTTGTCTCTCGTACTTCAGACATATTGTCAGGAAGGACCAGTCACTGGAGAAGGGTATCATGTTTGGTGAGGTGGAGGGTCAGAGAAAGAGAGAAGACCCCCAGTGAGATGGATTGGCTGAGTGACAGCATCAGTGGGTTCAAGTGTGACAGAGGTTGTGAGGTTGGCCCAAGACTGAGCAGTGATTTGCTCTGCTGTGCATAGGGTCACTATGAGTCAGTACTGACTCAATGGCACCTAACAATAACAGTGAAAAGTAGACATTTGTTTGTTTACTTTTGATGTTTATTCATATTTGAAGGAGCACCAGTTCCCTCTAGGTAATACCTTACTATTATCACTACCACTTCAAAAAATTCTTTATATATGTTCATAAGTTCTGATAAGATAAAAAATTATAATAGATTTTTGACATAATTTATTTCTGTCTTAAAATTTGGGGTTATTTTGGAGGGAGTTACTTTTCTCATTGAAACTACACTGAGGTAGGCAGTCTAGAAAACAGCCACATTTTCTTTTGTTGGATCACCTACCCAGTAGTATGATGATGCAGAGGAGAATGGCAATCAAGGCCCCCGTGCTGAGGCCTGCTGGGAGCAGCAGGGCTTCCGCGCTGCAGGATTGCATGTTGCCTTGGCCATCACACGCACACACGCGTATGGTCAGCGTGCCGGTGCTGCTCTGGATTGGGTAATCGTTGTCTGATATCACCACAGGCAGGAGATAAGTACTAATTTCATGCCTATTGAATCCATTTTTTCGGGTTAAAATTCTGGCAGTATTATCTGAAATAAATTTTTGAATATTACAGATGGTTAGGGACAGTAAATGCATTGCATCCTGATAAACACAGTGGGAAATGTATAAATTAAGTGCATTTATGCAAAGCTGATATATATCTTCCTAATAGGTAGAATATAAAAATAATACCATGAGGACTCACAGAGCATAGATTGGTTATTAGTGTTTCCTTTCAAATGCTTTCAACAAGGTGACTTTTGATAAGCGAATCTTTTATCAAAACTACATAGCTATTGTTGTCAAGTGCTGTCGAGTAAAATTCCAACCCATAGAGACCCTGTATAGGGTTTCCAAGGAGTAACTGGTGAACTTGAACCACTGGCCTTAAGATTCAAATTGACTTTGTAATCCAGCACATACCAAGACTCCCAAAACTATGTAGATGATAGAATTTTTGGATTAAAAAAAATCAATATTTTGCTCAACAGCGGAAACACATCATACCAAAATGTCTTTTTTAAATAAAGATATCCTCTCTCTCTCTCTCTCTCTCTCTCTCTCTCTCTTTCTCTCTCACACACACAAAAATCAATAATCTGGAAGAAGAATATAATTAGATGAATTTTAAAATACATTTTTAAATCAATGAAGCCATCAAAACTTTGCTTCCCAACTCATGAGCAACAGTTACCAAGCTACTTAATGGTTCTGAACTTTTATTTCCACTCATTGAAAATAATAAAATGTTATATTACTCAAAGAATTGGGATAAAATCTGAGATGAATGATATAAAGTGCCAAATACAGTCCCCCCCAAAATTATTTTTGGGCATTTCCTATTAATGTAACTGTAGTATCATAAGGAACAAATTTTATAGTTTACCTTCATTATCCTGTACTGTGAAGTTCGGATTGACAGCTGCTAAGCTGAAGAAAAATTTCTGTCCGCCTAAAGGGTCATCTTTGTCTACTGCACTTATAGTCTGTATTAGCTGCAGAAAAGAGAAAATATCCATATCTGTCAAACTTCCATGGTATCAAATTCCCATGGCTACAATCTGCTTTATAATATGCAATTTTTAATATCTTTACTCTGCCTAAAAGAAAAAAAAAAAAATGAAGGCACTTAGTTGTATTCTATGACCATATATATTTATTTGAGTCATTTGATGTTTAATTTTAATTTTATTTTAACAGAGCCACTCTCTTTTAATCATTTTCTTTCTCTCTCTTAGGTATAACTTGTTGCTTCAAAGTTATTTAAAAAAAGTTAAAATATTAACTTATAGTTGAAGTGAGTAAGTTTATAAGAATATGTTGAAGAATCAAGTAAGACATAAATGAAACAAAATATCCAGGTAGATAGTTGTTGTTGTTAAGTGCTGTCAAGTCAATTTTTACTCATAACAACCCCATATAGGGTTTTTGAGGAGCAGCTGGTAGATTTGAACTGCTGATCTTGTGGTTCACATTCCAGTACTGATCCTATAGCATCATCCTGGGACTAATGAAAATTCTCATATTTATGTTACTCTGTCATTAAGATTAATATGTTAACATTCCCATATATTTTGGTTGTTGATACGTGCAGTTGAATCAGTTTTGATTCATAGCAACTCTGTATAGGGTTTCCAAAGCTTCACTGTAAATCTATACAGAAGCAGATAGCCTCATCTTTCTCCCATGGAGCAGCGGGTGAATTTGAACTGCCAACACTGTAGTTAGCAGTCCAGTGCTTATGTGACAATAATTCTAATCATCTTTGAATAAACATAATATAATATTCCCAAATTTTAAAAATATATATGAAAGAGTTCTATAAAGTATGTGAACCAATTCTGTTACCTTTTAACTCCATTTTAGCCTCTTATATTTTGCAACTATGATTAAAAAATGAAATTCAAGTTCTTTTTAATAAACCAAGATAATGTATTTCAGAAAACAATAGTCACACCTGTGCATATCTTTTTAACACATTATAAAGCTTTAAATGAAAATTCTCAATTAAAATATTCCATTTTAATCAAAGATTGAATCATTATTGATTTCAAAGCCAAGGGCTAGTAATATAGTTTCATTAAATATTATGAAGGAAATAAGGCAAACTCATATTAATTAACTATAGGAACAAAATAAAGTTAAATATTGCAGAATCTGCATCATATTGCAATGTACTTTTATAAACCAAAGACTTGTCTGTTACACATGAAAACACTCACCCCATTTAGAAGTAGTCTTTTTTCTCTGAAACAATTTGGCTTTTAGAGTCTAATTTCATACTCAAAACTTACTTCTAAAATCAATCTTTTCTTCCATCTCCTACCATGCATTCAAAATAATGATGCTCTTGGGGTTTTTTTGTAAATATACCACAAAGTGTTGTGACAGAAATCAGAAACTGGTAACCTTTTTTGAGATAAAACCATTTTCCTTGGTTCTCTATATATTACCACCACCAGTTACTGAGTTAATTCCAACTCCAAAGTATCAGAGCAGACTTGTGCTTCATAGAGTTTTCAATGGCTGATAGTTAGGAAGTAGATCATTGGGACAGTGTTCAGATGCATCTCTGTGTGAACTAAAACCACCAACTTTTCTGTTAGTCATTCATACATTTACTCTGTGAACCGCCCAGGGGCAACTATTTTATTTCTACTAAAGCCAAACTCATTTTGACACATTTCTAATAAAATAGAGTATCACAATTAGGAAAAAAACAAAACAAAAAACTGAAGATGTCCAGCATTTGTTTTAAGTATATGGACAACAAACACAGATGAGTCACTTATGCTTTATTTCCTTCACCATTTTGTAATAGTTTGGTATTAATACAGGCTTGCCACGAGTCAGAATCTACTGGAGGGCAACTAACAACAACACAAGATCATGCTAAAACAAGTGTAAAGTAACAGGAAATTATCATGCAATAATGTGGTGTGGGGTAGATAGCATGCTAATACAATTAAAATTAGATATCAGGTCATTTAATATGCATTAATTTTCTCTGAGGGAAGGCTTGGGGTTCCATTTAATGAAAAAACAAAACTTTTTTTTTTTCCTAGTAAAAAAGCACTTGGTTAGTAGCCAAGGTTGGCAGAGGAGTAAAAACAGCAAAACCAAGAGCCACAGCATGAGACAGAACAGTGGGATTCCCAGCTCACAGAGCAAGTACAGCTGAGTGACTTTGGGCAGGAGGTTTGCTTACAGAGTGGGGTAACTCCAGGAACTTAATTGGGGGAGCTAGGTTTGTCTATTTACAGAGCTAGAGCTGAGTGCCTCCAGGCTGAGGCTAATAGCAGAGTGTTGTGTCCTGTTGGTCATTTATCAGCACCCCTAAAAGAGCTTCATAACATTGGCCAGGTGGAGAGAGACCAGCCTGTGGACATGGCTGAATGCAGACTGTCCTGACTGGAATAATTGATCATTTCTGACCCTGAGTTGTAACCTGCTAACTTACCCTATAAACACCATACCTGTGGGCGTGGGAAAAAAAGCACTCCATTTTATCATCTTTATATTAAGAAAGTAGCTAAATGTCATTGTATGGAAAGTATTACATGATGAGTTTTAATCTGCTAATGCTGCATGTAACCTGAATCAGAAGATACCGAAAAACACTGGTGATTAAAGAAAACCTTCCATTCTTTATGTTCAGGAGATTAACAGAAATAAAACCCATTACCGGGACTTATTAAGATCTATGGCAGCTCTCTTGTTTACCTATAGCAAGGTTCACAGATTATCAATTTCTTATTCCTTGACTCAAAAATGATTAATTGAATTGCTTAGCTCAGTGATCAATTAGCAATGAAGTGCTATTGAAGGCAGTACCATTGGCCTTCAATGCGACAAACAAAATGAGACTAACATTGGTTTAGTTAGTCTCATTTTCCTAAGTCACTGAAATTTGCATGTCGCTGCTTTCAGCATCCAAAAACACCATCTTGTTGTCTGCTCTCACATTGATTCAGACTCATAGAAACCTATCTAAGACAGAATACAATTGGCTCTTAGTGTTTCCTAGGTGGACAATTTTATTGGAACAGATTGACAGCTCAATTGTTAGAAGACAAGAAGGAAAGAAAAGACCAAAATGGCTGTTAAAAGAGACTCTGAAACCTGCTTTCCAGTGTAGGGATGCTAAAGCAAGTGGAAGAAATGAGGAGTGAAAACAGTTGGACAGAAAATTTCAAAAGGTAGTTTGAAAATACAATGTCAAATATTTTAATAAACTGTGCAAAGACCTAGAGTTAGAAAACCAAAAGGGAAGAACACACTCAACATTTCTAAAGCTGAAAGATCTGAAGAAAAAACTCAAACCTTAACTTCCAATATTGAATGATTCCATGGGCACAATATTAAAGGATGCAGAAAGCATCAAAAGAAGATGGAATACATAGTCACGATATCAAAAATAAATTGTTGGTGTTCAAGTATTTCAAGAGGTAGCATATTGTTGCACTTGAGTTATGGTGTTGAAGAAGAATATTAAAAACACCATGAACTGCCAGAAAAACATGCAAATCTGTGTTGGAAGAAATACAGACAGAATGCTCCTTAGAAGCCAGGATGGTTAGATTCATCTCTTATACTTTGGACACGTTATCAGGAGGGACCAGTCCCTGGAGAAGGACATCATGCTTGGTAAAGAGGACGGTCAGCAAAAAGAGGAAGAACCCCTAAAAGATGGTTTGGCACAATGGCAGTAGTCCTCGGCTCAAGCCTAACAATAATTGTGAGTTTGGTGCAGGACTGGGCAGTGTTTTGTTCTGGTGTGCATAAGTTTTCATGAGTCTGAATAGACTTAAAGCTCCTAGCAACAACAACTGCTGAAGATACTTTCTGATCTTATTGAATGAGCATTCTATTGCAAACGGCATCCCTGGGTAGTTAAAACGTTAACATGTATGACTGTTGACCACTGTCAAAAATATTGCTAGTTCCATTCATCCAGACACATTTCAGAAAAAAAAACCTGGCAATCAACTTCTAAATATTTCAAACTTTGAAAATCCTATGGAGAGTAGTTTTACACTAACACACTTGGGGTTTCTATGAGTTTGTGTTCTATTGCAATAATTCCTTTCTCCCCGTTCTGAATAAAGCCTCTCCTCCTTAAAGTATGGAGGAATCCTGGAGTCGAGCTGTGAAAAATGCACTGGGCTACCATGTCGGTTTGAACCACAAGGTTGGCAGTTCAAATTCACCAGTTGCTCCTTGAAACCCTATGCAGGTCACTATTAGTCAAAGGCACTTAATAATAACACATTAAAATACAGATTTATTTTACTTTTATTTCATAAAGGCCTCATCTAGATTAATATGAACAGTACCCCAATGATTTTCCTGTGAGATTACAGTTTGAAATATTATTGCCTTCAATAGAGATTAAGATGAATATATTTTATTGTCTGAGGAAATGGAACAAAAGAAAACCATCTATTCTTCTTATACCCTCGTTTCTCTCCTTTCCAAAGTTACAAGTTATTGTTGTTTAGTGCCATTGAGGTGGTTTCTGAGGCTTTGAATCTTGGCAGGAGTGGAAAGCTTCAATTTTCTCCCATGGAGCAGCTGTCAGCCTCGAACTGCTGACCCCAATATTTGCAGTCCAGTGCTTATCATATGGAGACACCACACTCCCAAATATACAAGACAAGGCTTTAAACACTACATCACTTATAAATTAATTCTTACCAAGGGCTTTTACCCTTACAACAGGAAATAGGCAAAAATAGAGAACCAAAAGGAAGATTTGAACAATTAGTTTTACTTCTGTCTACTTGTTTTTTTCCACACATTAAATGGGTGGAATTCTTGTCCATGCTGTACTAAAGAGTATTTAAGTTGGTAGAGTATTGGGTGGAATAAAATCCTCTATAAATAACTACAACACATCCAGAAGTCCTTCTAACTTTCTTCTACTTCCCCAGGGTAAGGGGAAGCAGAGTTAACAATTCAATGTCGGTGAATGCTCGGTGAAGAAGGACTTTATTAAATAACCAGTTTTATGTTACCCACTAGGATGTCATGACCTTGAATTCCATTACTGATTATATGAGGGTGAGTCAGAAATTACCTGTTCTCCAGTTATATTAAAACTCCCTCCAATGTACACGATGATGACAATATTGAGTAAGCATGTGAAATGATTCTGTGGAACAGATGTGTGATAGTGGATTATGTGGCAAATAATTTGCAAGTCAGCCATGGCTCTGCCTATGAAATAATCCATGACAGACTTAGGTTTTGAGAAGTCTGTACAAGATAGGGACCGAAACAACTCATGAAAGAGCGTTAACAGAAGCGTTTGGACATCTGCAAACAAAATTTGAACGAGACTCAAAGGAAAGTAAAAGTTTCTTAAAAACAATATCATTAATGATGATGAGACATAGATTCATCACTAGGATCCTGAAAGTAAATTGCAGAGTATATAATGGAAACATCCTCAGTCTCTGTCCAAGAGTTCAAAAGTCAACCACCAAATGGACAAGTTAATGCTTATAGTTTTCTGGGATTCTCAAGGTACAATATTGGAATACTATCAAGAAAAAGATTCAACAACCAACAGTGCTCTTTACAGTGAGGTGCTCACTGAATTGCTGAAGCTAAAATTTTGGATTGGAGGCCTGGTGTGGTGCTGTGGGTTAATGGACTGGACAGAAAAGTCAGTTTGAAATGCAAGGTCGGTGGTTCAAGCTCACTGGCTCCTCCTCAGAAACCCTATACAAGGTCTCTTTGGGTGGGAACTGACTCCATAGCACTTAACAGCAACATCAACTTTTGGATTAAATGCATAGGACTGTACACCAAGGGTGTTGTGATCTTCATGACAATGCAAGTGTACACACCTCTGTCCACACTGTTTACACCATGCAAAAACTTTGCTTTGATGTGTTAAAGCATCATCCCTACAGTGGAGTTCTTGATCTACCAGACTGTCACCTTTTTGGTTCTCTAAAAGCAGTCCTTTGAGGATGGAGATTCACCTCTGATGAACAGTGGTGTATTCCTTGCTTGCAGCTCAGCCTAAAACATTTTTTAATAAGGTAATGTGAAAGCTTGCCAACAGGTCGACAAAGGGTGTTTGAAAAGTGTATTGAAAAGCAATGATATTATGTTGAAAAATGATGCAGTTTCCTTTTTTAAAGTGAGATTAAAATAAATTCAACAGCCAGAGTGCAGATACTTTTGACTCACTCTACCATAAGTATTTACTTTGAGCAAAGGCATCTTTCAATTTACGAGGCCAAAAGGACATCTAATAAGATGATCTTGGTTAAGACAACTAGGAAATAGTTGCAGTGGTGCAGTGGTTAAATGCTTGACTTCTACTCTAAAGGTTGGCAGTTCAAACCCACCAGCAGAAGAAAGGTCAGGCAGTCTTTTTCAGTAAAAATTATAGCCTTGGAAACCCTGTGAGATAGTTCTATTCTGAATTATAAGGTTACTTTCAATCAAAATCAACACCAAGTGTTGTTGTTGTTTTTTTTTTTTTTGGATTTTAGTATGGAGACACTATTGCATATGCAGGCAATGGGGAAAAAAAATATTGGTCATGTTCATTCCTATGACTTTTTCAAAACAGACTATTGCATTTTCATGAACATCATCTTTGAATTTTTGCTTAGCGATACCATCTATTTTGTAAACATCACAAAATTACAGAGAAGTCACAGAACTGGGTACAGTTTTTAAAAAGGAAAATAAACAAACACAATTCTTATTTTGTATAACTTTGAATATATTTGTAAATCAGTGCTTATAATGATTCAAATGTTCTGAAAAGATATCTCTTGAAAATCAAATAGGATAACTATAGAGGGAACAATATATGCTGAAATGGTAAAGTGGATAATTTATCTCTTAGAGAAAAGGCTTCAACTTATATCATGCTGAGCCTGTCAAGCAGAGGGCTATTTGGAATGGTATTTTTAGGGCAAGAACTGTTTCATTAAGAAGTAAGTTGGAAGCAGCAAGTCATTTAAATAAAACAAATTAAACATTTCCATAACATTTTCAAGTAAAAAACGAAAAGGCAGCAATTGAAGCAATTTTACTGTTTCAAACAAGAGACAGGCTATTGAATAGCTGTTAGAATCTTCAGAAAAATAAATCTGAGTTATTCTGCAATGTAATTTGCATAAAAATATAAAAATGACATTGATGTTTATAAAGAACATCAAATGATGTCAAAATACAATGCAATTGTTCGATGGTTCCTCTTTCTTATATAAAAGCACATTTGATCCCCAATTATTATTTATAACACGTAGCTTCCTTCTGTGAAGATAACATTCAAACCAATTAAGAGCTTTTCTTTCAGCCTTATACACTCAAATCTTTCAAACAACAAAATGAGGCCACTAAGAAAAACTTAAGGGGGTATAAACAAAGCTGATGATAGAAGAATATTTTAATGAACAATAACTATGTCATTAAGTACTTTATGTGTTGTTATAATAATAAAATGCAACATATAAGTCTACAGAGAAAATTTTGTTGGTCTAATTTTTATTAGAGTATCAATTAAACATTTAACTGATGCTTGGAATTTAGCTGATCCTGTCTCTATATTTCCCCTAACTTCAATTTCCCCTCTCTTTATCTGTTACCAATATTTAACTAATGATATTATAGATTTTTGTTTGTTTTTATGCTGGAAGGCTTAAAAAGTTAAAAGAATGCCTTCTTATACCTTAAATTTTATGACAACAATAAAATCTTAACTTAGTCACTGGCATTTTATGAAGGAAATATGAAGCCAAACCTATTTTAATGCCATTTTAAATGTTTAAAACTCTCCAAAATATAGCTCACTTTTTTTGGTATTGCTAGGATTATATGAAAGCTTCTATCTGCTTATTCATTTCTTTCAGGATTTGGGAGAGAAAATATTTAATTAGAAGTTTAAAAATCTTCTCATACTTTAAATGGTACAAGTGCTCACCTGTCCTGGTCGGGCATTTTCACATACGAAAGTATCATAGAACACAGCAAACTGTGGGGCATTGTCATTGACGTCCAAAATTCTCACAAAAACAGCCACACGAGTCATCTCTTTGGGATTGTCTAGAAAAGGAAAAGGAATTTTTGCTTTGGAAAAATCATTTGTACACCTGATCTAATTTATAGAGGCATCTTGTGGCTATTAAGTGCTCACATACAAATAAGCCCACTGTTAATTCCACCATCACAATGATCAAATGCAATAAAGAAAATTACTATAGTGCCTAATTAAGTAGTCATGGATTCAATTATTATTGGACTCACAAGTACTATTATTATTTGGAAACTTTTAAAAGAACAATCCAGTAAAATTGAGTTCATATTATATTTGTGTCCTTATTGTATAAAATGTATCTTATTGTGCTCAAAATATATTATGTTGTTAAGTGCCGTGAAGTTGGTTCCTACTCATAGCGAACCTGTATTGGGTTTCCTAGGAGCAGTTGGTGAACTTGCAGTTCAAACTGATCTTTTAGTCCAGCACATTAACCCACAGCACCACACTAGGACTCCAAAGTATATAGAGAATAATATTGATTAAATCCTTGCATGTGTTTTGGATGATAAAGTAGAATTTCATATAAATTAGTGACTTGCTCAAAGTCATTAGCTTCGGAGTGGTAAATGTCATTAAACATGTTCTCAGTGAAAACCACGCACATGTTGCTTTCTAAATCCTGGTGTTTCACTGTAGGGTAAGCCCTGGACCCCAAGGCTGGTTTGAATCAAATGGTTGGCAACTCAAACTTACCAGTCATTCCTCAGAAATCCGATATAGGGTTGCTGTGAATCAGAAACTGACTTGTCAGCACTAAACAACAACAATTTCCTCTTGGAAAATTTAATATGTGGCTTGTTTTAGTTGTTAAGTGTCATCCAGTAGGTTCTAAATCATAGCAACCCTGTATAGGGTTTCCAAGAAGTGCTGGCTAGTTTGAACCACTCTCCTTATGGTTTGCAGTCTAGTGTTGTTATTACAGCATCATACCAGGGGTCCAATATGAGGCTACAAACTTTAAATATCATCTAGAAGATCTACAAAAATTCTAAGGGCTGAAATCTTATTAATATAATCACTACTGGACTGGTGCCATTTTAAAATTCCAGGCTTGATTTGTTTTTTTTGTTTTTTGTTTTTTTTAAGTTTTTGATTGTAAATTGAGTGATAGTTTACATGGGAGAACATCAGTTTTACACTCACCTTTTCATTGCAATGATTACAATCTCCTCTGTGCATCATTATTTAACAGGATTTGCTTCTATTCCCTTTGTTTTAAGGTTTTTTTGTAGGGTGGGTGGATGTACACAAAAACACTCAGGAATATATAATAATTTAAAAAACTAAAGGGCACATGATGTAAGCCTGCCTCCTGGCCGCCAGCACTCTGCCTTTCTCTGCCCATGAGTCTAGTCAGCTGCTCTCTCTCTCCCTGTCTTCATCTCTGTTCAGGCTTAATTTTGCTTAGCAATTTATAGTTCTCAAATTAGCTCAATCCCAACAAATAAACAAGTGTTCATTTTATGCTACAAATATTAAAATCATGAATATCGAAGTTTTTACAAAATAAAATGAGTTTTAAGAAACATTATAATTTTCAAAAGGAAATTTAAAATATGAATGCTTCTTGTATGGTATACCTTTGGATAACAACCTCTTTTTAACTAGTAATTACAGTATTTCCATTACTGAGTTTTCCAGGCCCTTCTGAGATTTGAGTATATTTTGTTAAGCAGGTTCTACTTATCATAACCCCCACCCTTCGCCTCATGATATCAACATTTCAGTCCTTGAATATAATCAAAATTCTGTGTGGACTTTGGCAAAATCAAGCTGAAGAGCAATAAAAAAGAAAGAAAGGAGATAATTAGATAAATAAATAAGTCAAACTAACCAAAAGAATAGCAGATGAGCTGAGAGCAAGTATTAATCTTAAGAAGTGTCTTTTACCATTTATAATCCAAGTTATAGGAAGTACTTACTCTGTAAGTTTATCTTATTACTTTTAATCTAAATAGTTTTCAGACATAAGGGTAAAAATTATTGTCATGAACTAATAGGGCATATACCATTAACCTAAGTACTTTATTTTCCTTTTTCTCTGCAAGTAATGACGAAGTCCTGGTATGACATTGTAAGATAACCACTGGACCATAAGGTTAGTTTGAAACCCAGGGTCAATGGTTCAAACTCACAAGCTGCTCCTTAGAAAACCTAACAGTGTCTCTATGAGTCAGAACCACTTGATGGCACTTAACAACAACAATGACAATGTTACTGAAACAGCAAAATCAACACTTAAAAACATTTGTTGTTGTTGTTAGGTGCCATTTAGTCAACATTGACTCATAGTGACCCTATGAACAGCAGAATGAAACACTGCCTGATCCTGGGCCAGCCTCACCATTATTGCCATACTTGAGTCCATAGATGCTGCCACCTGGCCAATCCATCTCGTTGGGGGTCTTCCTCTTTTTCTCTGCTCTTCCACCTTACCAAACATGATATCCTTCTCCAACAACAGGTCCCCCTCCTGACAATATGTCCAAAGCATGAGAGACAAAGTTTGGCCATCCTGGCCTCCAAGGAGCACTCTGGCTGCACTTCTTCCAAAACGGATCTATTGGTTCTTTTGGCAGCCCATGGC